ATTTTTTTGTAAGACATTATTTACTTTTAAAAGTTAATTATAATAAAAAATGTTATATGCATTTTTACATTTCTCAAACATATATAAATTTTATTAATAAAAGATTATCACAAAATTATATATTTATATGTAAATTTATATTTTATTTTTATTTAAAACGACACATACACTTTCATTTAATTAAAAGATATATAGCATCAAAAAATTAACTTTATATAATTAAGAGGGATCTATAACATTGAAAATTAGAAAAAGAAACAATTTAAGCATTTTAAATAAAAATGAGAAATATCACATTTTTGAGAAGTAAAAAGTTAATAAGATAGGTTCAAAGTTCAAACATTTTTTCTTATTTCAAAAATTATAATTGTTCAAAATAAAAAATTATATTACAAAAAAAAAAAAAGCCCCACAACAAAAGTGGAAGAAAGGGACGCGTCCCATCTTGGTAAGTTGATCAGCACACATATTATTCTCTTTAACAATGTGTTGCAGTTGAGCTTGAGCAAAATGATTCACAAATTCTATGTTATTCAAGATCAAAGTACTTAATGAATGGGAATTAGAAATATTGGCAAATAATAATTGAATGGTACAAATAAAGAGGCACTTAATGATAATCTTTGAAAACACCCTAGCAACAACTAGTTAGAGGTCATCTTGTATAGCATAATGCCCAACACTTAAACTATTAATAATGCCTATATCCCTAGCATACCCCATAATCCAGTTGCCATTACAATCCCTAAAGATTCCTGCAACAGCAAGTGGGGGTATGTCTAAAGCACCACCATCAATATTAAGTTTAACAAAATTAGCAAAATTTGGAAGAGATTTATCCCAGTAAAACAGGACATGTTGCTTATTAGATGCCGACTGAATAGGAAAAACCAACCAAAATTCAACAGTTTTATCAACAATAAAAGGAAACCACTTAGAATCTTGAAAATTAGAATCCCTACAACTTGTCATTCCTCTATAACCAAACTCCCCAAATAGCAAACGAAAACAAAGTAGCCCAAGAAATTTTGAAAATACAGGAATCATCCATGCATTTAGAGCTTGCTCTTAACCAACCAATAAAAGAAACAGCATTCTGCTGAGTATGAATATGTTAATTGTTAAAATGGAGAGTTTTTCAAGTCTTAAAGCAAGGAATTTCTCTAGTATAAAAGTTTCTTAAATAATTAAAAAGCTTCTTCCAATTAAAATCTCAAATTGAAACCTAGCTATCAACATATCAAGAGTGCCATCATTAGATTGGAATTGATTTAAAACTTATTAAAAATCTAACAAAATAAATCCAGACTATTAGATATTATACAAATAAGAAAAAAAATATTATTCTAAGAGGAAGCAAGACCAAAAATCTAAAAGTAGTTTATCAATAACCAAACATAATATCAATTAGTATAAAACAACTCATATAGTAGCATAAAAGCATCCTATGAATGGGTTCTTTAATTAAGACTCCAAAGTGCTGAACCATATAGATTGCTAATAAGTGGATAGATATATAATCAGAAATAAAAAGGAACATAGAAGAGAAGAAACCTTTGAGAGAAGTTTTTTTCAACAAAATTTGAAGCCATTTTGTTGGATAAATGTCCAACTGGATGCCACCGATTGAGGTATGCTTGTTTTTGTCTGTAAATTTAATTGAATAAGACAG